GAAAAAAAAAAAAAAAAAAAAAACGCAAAGGAAACCTGGAGACCCGTCTGCAATGGAGTGGGGGGTTCTGCCTGCAGTCTTTTCCTCAGGAAATATAAAATAACCACATACATCTTATTCTGACCAATTTTACTCAAGACGATTCTAATTAAACTATTTTCCCATGTAGAATTGAATACTACACAATATGACCGGAAGAGGGATTTGGTTATTTTATTGAGAAGTATGTGGGTCACATCTAACGATACTAGAAAGTTAGATTCATAATGAGAAAGCTGATACGAAAAAAAAAAAAAAACGAAAACCTATCTCGCCTAAGATCATACATATGTATGAGTGCTGTCAAAACACCATTAAATCCGAGAGGTAGCCAGGGCAAAATATCTCGCATTCCGTGGCATCCCATGCATTATAGAGTATCTTCATGAATGGCAAGTGTGAGTGGTAGTCAGGGTGTGCCTTTAGATCAGTAAAGTACCAAAGTATGCTGTGTTGGCCGACATCCAGCGATTACCGTCATCATGCACAAGAGCTGCGTCATGTACTCAAAAAAGTGTCGCTCTTCATAACATTTTTTTCTGTGAGTAGCTCTTTCCACCAACTAACCTTCTTGTGTGCTTTTTCCAGCTGAGGCCGTCAGAGTAGTAAGCTTTTCATTCACCTCTTTCATATCAATCTCCATCTTGTCAGTTGTGTCTTTGAAGTTTCTTCTCATGTTTTCCAGCGAATCTAAAAATTTCAAAAGGTATGCGCATTGTTCTAAGCAAATTTATATCACAGCTTCACGTTAGGTTTAGGTACAGATAAAAAAATGATACCTATGTCAATATCTAGTCAATTCCGAAGAGATCAAACTCACCAGCACGCTTAGAAATAAAAAAAATGCAGTCCAGCAATTGTACACATTCCGTGGCATCCCATGCATCATAGAGTATCTTCATGTATGGCAAGTGTGAGTGGTAGTCAGGGTGTGCCTTTAGATCAGTAAAGTACCAAAGTATGCTGTGTTGGCCGACATCCAGCGATTACCGTCATCATGCACAAGAGCTGTGTCATGTACTCCAAAAAACAGTGTCGCTCTTCAAAACGTTTTTTTTCTATGAGTAGCTCTTTCTAACAACTAACCTTCTTGTGTGCTTTTTTCAACTGAGGCCGTCAGACTAGTAAGCTTTTCTTTCACCTCTTTCATATCAATCTCCATCTTGTCAATTGTGTCTTTGAAGTTTTTTCTCGTGTTTTCCAGCGAATCTGAAAATGGCAAAAGGTATGCGCATTGTCCTAAGCAAATTTATATCACAGCTTCACGTTTAGGTAAAGATAAAAAAATGTTACCTATGTCAATATCTAGTCGATTTCGAACAGATCAAACTCACTAGGACGCTTACAAATCACAAAAATGAAGTCCAGCAATTGCACACATTCCGTTTCATCCCACGCATTATAGAGTATCTTCATGTATGGCAAGTGTGAGTGGTAGCCAGGGTGTGCCCTTAGATTAGTAAAGTATCAAAGTATGCTGTGTTGGCCGACATCCAGCGATTACCGTCATCATGCG